CCTCCCCCAAACTGCAGGCAAGAGAGATGGTGGAGAAACCTAGATTTTATTTTTCCTTACATGCAAGCTCACCTATTTTATCATATTTATAAAAGCAAGACAGAATCATGTTCATTTATTAATAGTATTTCTGTAAACAGACTGGATTTCAGAGCTCTTAATTCACTTTGGAAACTTTTGTAAAGTTTATCATTAGCAGCCTAACAGGTTTTTCTTCCCCAGTAGATCTTCTACGTTTTCTGTATTTGGAGGGGGAGGATCAGAGTATTGGTGACAACTGGTGCTAAATAAATAGGGTGTGGTTGTGCTTACTAAGCCCTTCCTACTTCTTCTCATAAGTAATGGGTGACTTGGCTTATCCTTTATCTAAAGTCATTAGTAAGCAAGTAGATTATCAAAGACAGAATAGAGGGAAGTTTCCATTTGAGATAATTTCCAAAGCTGGATGAACTTAACTGGAGCTTAATTATCCACTGCTTTTCTTTGCTGACCAGAAAGATGTAAGCTAGTCATGGAGCTCAGATCCTGAGTCCATCCATCAGCATAATGTATTCAGTATCTGTGATCAGAAAGTGTTGGAAAAACCATCTACAGGTGGAGAAGAGAAGTCAGTTACTTACAATGATGGTACCTTAAGAGGCAAATCAAAGCAAGAACTAGCAGGCAGTGATCCTTTTCTCTTAAACTCCAATGATCCATCCATTTCTGCCAGCTTTACAGTCCAAGAAACCTCAACTAGGAGTACAGAAGGTGGCAAGGAGGCAGAGAAATGAGGAGGCCTTTACTCAGACTTGTAGACCATTCAGATACTAGATTCCTAACATTATTACTTTTGCAGTTGAGGCAGTAATGGGGAACTCAAGGTTTAAGACTTCATTTGCTGTCCAGTGTAAAAAAAAAATGGCACAAACCATTGAAGCTTTTGAGGTGTATGTACACCCTCCATAAAATGTTCAGAGACATAGATGACTCCCCACTGATGCTCAACCTCTCACAAGAAGCCTTTATTGAAATATGGGAAACATCTGTCCATCTTTAATTGTTCCAATGTTGAGAAGATAGTTGCTTCCCAAACTTACTGTCTGAACCAGGTCAGAACTGATTTCAGATTTACTTCCGATGTCTGACATTGTCACGCTGTGATGGTAGCCCAGGATTTCTTGTCAATGGTGGTATATATCTCCCGTTTGTGGTCTGGCAACCTCCCAGGCTTGAATTTATTTTGACAGTTATAGCATCCTCCATGGTGACAGGAACATTTCTGACCCCATCAGTCATTTACTACCACCTTGTCCTTGATGGGGTTATCATTGTACAGTCAAGAAAGAGTATCTGTAGAATTCCGATAACTATCAGGGCATTCCTACTCTCCATCACACAGAATCGGATCCGATTTGCACCTGATAACAACATCATATGGCTCTGGCATGTTTTTTATACTAACAAAATAATGGATTTTAAAGCCATTTTTCTTTCCAAGTAGGTAGAGTAGGTGGGACTGTGTTAAGAGGGAGTAATAAAGGTCTACCATAAGTTCCTCTTTTGGACAGCTATTCTAAACTCACCAAAAATTGTAGTGGAGAACCAGATTCCCAGGATTCTAGTTCTAAGATACCAGACTCAGCTAGTTTGTGAAGGCTTTGTGATGCTTTTGTCAGGACTATGCACTTGGTCCCTGCAGCCCAAGAGAGGTGGGCCCAGTTATCCAAGTGAAAGAAACATGCCATGAACTCCAGCCCAGTGTTGGTATAGCTGAAGATGGAAGGGAAGTTAGTTGGTATGCATGAAGTTCTGGCACTTGGGTGACCCTTGACCCTTCAGTGCCACCAGTACCCTTTGCTTCCCAAGGCAAGCACTGAAAATGTGACTTAGTACACAAACACCCCAAACTTGGTCTTGTCAAACCAGCATGGCAGAGGACAGTCATGCAGGCTCAGCCAGGCTGGGGCATACCTGCCCAGAGTCCCGATCACCCACATGGTGGCTCTGAGTAGCAGCAGTAGCAGCAGTTACAGCTCTGTGCCCTCATCTCAGGAGCCCCAGAGACCAGCAAATTAACAGAGACTTAATTAACTGCTCCTAATGAATGCACCTTGTTTGGGTTCTGATTTCAAGCAAACAGACAACTTTGCTACGCTTGATTTTATTTTAAGGAAAGCATGACCCGAATGGTGTTCCTGAGCTAGATGAGATCTGCTTCAGGACCAAGAACACTGGGGTGAGAAGCTGGAGAGGGAAGTGCAGGCCAAGATTGCTCATGGGTACCTTCCCACTTATGTGATGCTTGTCACAACCTCATTTATTATCCATTGTCTCAAATCTGCCCCTCAGGGAAATAATTTGGTCTAAATAAAATCTCAGAATGGGGATCCAGAAAAAGATTAGCTATATTAAACCATGCGCTCCAATTCAACTGGAGATAAAACAAGAGAGAAAGGAGACATATCTCCAAATTCAATTCTCCTATCTTCAGTTATATTTTATGGAGAACTTATGTCATTCACAAAAGAGATGTAGTTCCCCAGGGGAGACAGCAGGTGTACATTTTCTCTCAAGGTTATTTAATTGCTGTCAGGAAGACATATGATTAACAAAACCAAATGCTGGAAATATGAAGTATAGACAATTTTAAAGTTGTTTATATAGTTGATTACAGTATATCATACAATGTGTTTATTTGCTATAAACCTGCCTATCACAAACTGTTTCCACACCTGTGCATTGGCACTAAACAGCCTACTGCTTAGCTGTGTATAAATCCCCGCTGTGAGAATGGCCAGTAGCAGAACATAGCTTTCACCAGTTGGCCTCTCTGAGTTACCTCCCATGCACCAGCTTCATATGGTGATTTGAACATCTCAATCTGGGACAGAGGCCTGCTGACCCATAGTGTCCCCTGCTTGGAAGAGAGACCACTGAGCCCTATGCAAAGGAGATTGTGTGAGCATGGCAGGCCTTTGGGATTCCCCACTGTCCTCTATGACACTGTGGCTCAGAGTGAGGCACATGGTCTGTCATATCTGTTGGCTACTGTGGAGACAAGCACAGGACTGAGAGGAAGCATTCAGTACACAGAGAGCCATTTGGCAGCAAACATTTATGTCTGCTGAATCTTATAATAAAAAAATGAATCTTGAATTTTATATGCATTGGAGGATTTTATTTCACTTTATGTTACTTTTACTGCACTTTCCCGGATATCAGCAGGTGACAGTTTGAGGGTAGGAGGGGGAGTGACACCTTCCACAGATAGTTTGAGAAGCACCACTTTATAGGAATGGCCACTATGCAGGCAACACCCCAGGCCTTCACTTTGACAAAGAGTCATCCAGTGGTAAAAACACAGGACCCACAAAGATGGCCTTCTAAAAGGTCACTCAAAGGTGAGAGGCAAACAGGCTGCTCTACTGCATATCTGTTAGATCCATGCCAGAGGATGGCAAGTCTAATGAAATCATCCCAGCTGAGCCCTAGTCACAGTAGCTCAGACCTTTCCATATACAAAATAGCCAATGGTCTTCCACTCTCTTTAACGTGATATATATTCTAACCTGCACGTGTACATGGAGGAGTTTAGCATCAAGTCTGCTTTCAAAGATTCCTTACACAGCTGTGAAAATTTATTAAAAACTGATTATTTATTAGAGTATTTTAAGATTTCATGCTGAATATGCTAGAGACAGTCGTTAAGGAAAAGACATGTAATGCTCAGAAAACAAGAAATTTGTGTTCAGATATTGGTTCATAGAATATGAATGGAAAAATTATTAGTATAGAAATAGCATCAATTTTGGAAAATATGAAGATAATTTCACTTATGTTTACATTTTTCGTTGTTGTATTTGTAAATTCTCATGCATGAAACAGGGACATATATGCCTATATACATCTGCATCACAATATAGAAACGCAGTGGTCAGCTTTGTGGCACTATAACAAAGTACTGAGATGATTAACTTATAAGAAGAAAATATTTTGGCTCATGGTTTTGGAGGTTCTGGTTCAAATCAGGTGGACCCACTGTTTTGGGCCTCTGAAGGGCACACCAGATGGTGATGCTGGGGGTTGGGGAGCGTGTAGCAGAACAAACTGCTCACTTCATGGCTAGGAAGCAAAAGAGAAGAAGGAAGGGGCCAGGGTCTCACAATTTCCTTTGAGGCCACACTTCCAAAGACCAAGGGCCTCCCGCTTCTCCCAACCTCCCTATAGTCCACAGCACCTGGCAATAATTCTATCCTGGGGAACAAGACTTTAGCATTTGGACCTTTGAGAAACATTTATCCAAACCATAGTAAGATACTATCCAAAACCAACTCTTTTACCTACTAGTTTAAAGGAACTCCCACCCAAATGTCCTGTAAGACTAAGGAATATTTCAGGTGTATCCATATTTCTTGCTCCAACATTGGGGTTTAATAAATGTTTGAATTTCACAAAGTCTATATTTAAGAGAGTCCCCTATTCTTCTAAGCATGAACCTTCATACACTCTGTATAAGAGGAGCTGCTTTCTCTCCCCTCCTATAACCTCTAGAGTAATCAGAAGTGCCCCCACCACTCTTGGCAACCAGAATGTCTGCTTGGCTTTGGGGTGGTCAAAAAAAGAGTTAATCACACATGGATTTTCAGTACAGGTAGGGTGGGTTTAGAGAAGTCACCCTGGGAAAACACAAATGGTGGTGCTGGATAATTAGCTCCTGCTCCTCTTTCCATGGCCGTGGTCCCTTCTCAGTTTCTGTGGCCAACCTAGTACTCAAGGTTAGGGATAGTGGGTGGTTTCAAACCCATGTGAGCAGGGAGGGAAACTTTTCTCCCTACTGACCAAAGTTTCTTCTCCTTCCCTCAAGTTGAAAACATAGTAGTAAAATGGTGAAGTTATATTCCCAACCAATTAATATTCACTGGGATCCTATAACATTCCAGAGTCATGAATCCTGCCCCAGGAGCTTCATCCTAATTAACCATGAATCTCTAGTGAGACTTCTTCACATTGACTCTGAGCACCTTTAGAGGTGAGGTCATGCTCATAGGTCTCCTCCTGACGGTGGAGAATCACAGAGGAGGGAGAAGCCAAGATATGAGCAAAGGCACCAGGTGAGTGCATGAGACGCCAAGAGGAGGACGATGTCTGTTACTTAGGGGGATGATTCCAGGAGAGGCAGTTCCAACTTTCTCTCTCTCTCTTTCTTTGTCTCTCTCTCTTTCTCTCCCCTCCCCCCTTCTGTGTTTTCATTTTCCTGCCTCAGGTTTATTTGTATGAATGTCACAGGAGGACACCACACTCAGGTGACACCAACCATTCCATTCTCACATGCGTAGACAGAGAACTTTGCTCTGGAGCCTTTGTGGACACCTTGGGAGCCACAGCCCAGGTCTTGGTTTGAACCTGTCCCTGGGCCTCCAGAGAGCAGGGCCAGACATACTTGGCAAGGCTCACATGGACACACTTTGTGATCTTTGGGTGGATGATGGAGAGAGGGTTGATGTCCTCTGGAATTTTGGACTTGATTTCTTTGGGCCTTTGGGAGGCTGGACACCCTTATCACATGTACTCAGGGCCTGATGTTGGTGACCTGCATCTTCTTCAGGTCTTACTTGTACGCCTTAGCAAAATGTATCTTGCTCAGAAAGTTGTGGTGAACTTCACTCAGAAATTAGTATCTTTGTAGTAAGGGGGTTTTGATGCCACTTATGTTGCATTTCCTGGACCAGGTGTGCTTGGTGTTGTTCTTAGGCTTGGCCAGGTCTGCACAACCTCAGCTTCCAAAGCCCCAAGGAGAAAGAGGGCTCACTTTGTTTCTTTGTGTTGTTCTTCATGTCTCTTTAGATATAACAAGAAGTACTACAGATCCTTGTAAAATACCTTCAAAAGATTGTTATTGTATATTCCCAAGCAGGTGATGGGATAGATGCTAATAATGCCATTTTAGAGATGAGTAAACCAAGGCTAGGAAGAGCAAGTTCTTGCCTGAGGTCACACATCGATGGAGCCCTGAGGCTTGTAAATGAAGTTTTTTGCCTTCAAAGCCGAGTGTTCTTCTGTCATTATAGCTGCCTACGTGGTCTTTCTTTGGATTTTTTTTTCTTTTGGGTGTTTCATAGTCATCTCAAGTTGAATTTACCCATAACTGACTTCTCGATTATTCCTTCAAATCTTTTCCCTTCTTCCATTTTCTGTACACGATATCTGGGTGTCATTTCTGTCACCTGTCTCTCTCACTTCCCCACATCCCAAACAACACCAGGTCATGGTGATATCACCTCCCAAACATCCTTCTTGCCACTTCTGTCTTCACTGTCTTCACCGTTCATACCCTCCAGATACTCATTTGTTAAAGAGGTATTAAAGTGGAGTATGTCCAATTAAGGAAGACACTAAAAAGACAAAGTAATTGGGAGGTAAGCTAGATTTTCTTGTGAAAATGAAGATATTGAGAGATTTCTTCAAAAGAATATAAGGAAAAATTAAGTAAATGACTCACCATATTTGCTTTAATATATCAGGTGATATTAATAGTAATCACAAAAATACTTTAAAGTTTCATTTTAATTTCTCTGAATGCAACTGAGATCCTTTCTGGAATAAAGCAGTTTAAATTAAGCATGGTATAGTTTTAAAACAAAAGAAAATATTAGTTTAGATAGATGATCTAATTTTCCTTTTATAACCACATTCTTAAAGCCAGGTGAACAGATGTTATTATAATTTGTAGATGGAAAAATAAAGTTCAGAGGCGCCATGTGACTTGTCCAAGATCACACAATGGAGATGAGAATCCAGAGTTTCCACGCCACATGGATGCTTCGGCAGTAGGCTTTACCAAGCTCTCCAGTGCATTCTCTCATGTTCCAATGTGAAGGCAAAGGAAAAATAGAGAACAGTACAGGAAATACACTGATTTAGCAGAAGCCTATGGCATGTGCATTGTGACTCAGAAACCAACTTTTTTTTTTTTTTTTTTTTTTTTTTTTCAATTATTTTTATTTTTTTTTTTTAATTTTTTATTGTGGGTTGTTCAAAACATTACAAATTTCTTGACATATCATATTCCACACTTTGATTCTAGTGGGTTATGAACTCCCACCTTCACCCCATACACAGAAACCAACTTTTTGTTCTTGTTCTTTTTCTGTTTGCTTCTGCTTCTGCTCTTCCTCCTCTTTCTCTTTCCTGTTGTCTTAGAGACAGTGAAAATGCTCCAGAAACCCCCAAGACCTTAATAAATTTTCTTTACGGTTAAAATAACAATTCTGAGGAGGAAAAAAAATAACCACAATGACCATCATGATAAATTTCTATGACACCTTCTTGCACACTGATTCCTCTGACCTTAGATACAAATCCTTCCTTAAGTGACTTGTTAATATTGCTGGATCCTGCTCTTCAAGTGTTCTTTTCATTTCTGGTTCTTTTTGGAACCAGAAATTCTTACATTGTAAAGAAATTCATTCAAGAAGCAATCTAAAGGAATTTTTAACTTTGCTGTTTTACATAGATTAGATGGGGTCACTGAAAAACACCATCATTTTTGCCAGATCTCTTTTCTCTCCACATTCATGTCACTGAAAAATGGACCATGAGCTTCCCAAAATCGAGGTCTCATGCTCAAAAACACTCCTAGAAGTGAGGATAATGAGTTAGAAAAATCTCTCGGTGATGTAGATGAAAATGAATGTTGGAGCGATTCCTGGGCAGCAGAAGGACTCCAGTGTTTACATAATCCCAACGTGCAACACATGGCTCCTTCTACATTTTTCTGCTAAAACTCACCTGGCTTTGCTCAAGCCCCCAAATGTAGTGAATTTTAGACAGCACCTAATATTTATTCATGCCATTGTCAAGAGCATCTCTGCAGTTCTTGCCAAGGTCTGTCATTGAATATGTTTATCCAGCTGCCTGGCAAAAGCATAATACACAGTCATCATTTTACTCAGTCACCTACTCAATATTTTCTTCTATGATTAAATTAACTCGTAAATATTACACTTTTAATGCCAGAAAGCCATGGTTCATCCAGCCAGTTGAATGCTTGTTTGTCCATTTTCTAACATTGCCGGGCACTCAGTCATTTCATTATAGAATCTGAAATAATGAAAATCATTGCATTCACTTAACATGCACAATAAACAGAGCAGGATCTTTCCAAGAGCCCTTTTATTATGCAGTGCAAGGCCATAGAAGAAATTTTTGCAAAGAGCGCAGAAGAACTGTGAGGCTGAGTTGCAAATGATTTGGGTCTATAAAAACAAATCTGCTCTGATTGTCTAAAAGCAAGGACAGAAATGCCGGCTGTATTTGCAGCTGGCCCAATTTCTTACTTAATCAAGTAGGATTTCGAATAAACCCACTCATCTTGATGTTGTTGTATCCTATTCACTGACAGTCTGTGCTTATGAACCCTGTACACTGTTTCCATGTACCATGGCATTTTTTGAGCCTCTTCCTCTGAACATCCACATCCAGTCTGAATTTTTAGAGCAGCCTACAGAATGCCTTCCACTCTCATCTTCATCTATTTGGATTGCAGCTTGAGGGCAAGAATCTGCCTTTGCCCTCTGATGCCAGCCCTGGTGACACCAACACAATGTGCATCCACTTAGATATCCAAGCCCTGGAGGCAGAAGCCATTTTCCACAGGATCCTTATCAAATCACCTTCTGAATGAAATGTTTACAGTGGCCCTGCAGGGCAGTTAACTTCTCTAGAATTATGTCCAAATTTGTTTGATCATTCTGGGAATAGCCTTGGTTAGCAATTGTTCATAATGCCAACGCTTTCGAAAACTTTTTACAGTCATTTTATTGTTTTTATTTCAAAAATAAAACTTAAAGGAGCTTGAAAAGTAGGTTTTTAGATGATCACACAATGGCCCGATTTCAGTGGTTTCAGTTCTGTGCATTTTACTTTATGTGCACCCACTGAAATTAACCAAAATTAATCCATATTTGAACAAAGACTATAGATACAAATGAGCCCTAGCTTCCGAGACTCCTCAGTGCAGTGCACCACTGACGCGTTTGGAATGCATTGGCCCTGGGAGGCGAAGAAGTTATAGCAAACAACATATGGGCTTTAAAATCTGGAACCATCCAAGACAGAATAAGAGAGCTATTTTTACTTTACTCCCCCCAACCCCCCTCCTTTTTTTTTTTTTTCCTCCAGAGAATGACTGATTTCTGATCACATTTTATTCTCATCTTTAGCGCTGGATCCTGAAAGAGCCAGGTTTCTTCAAACCTGCTGGTGAGTTTGCAGCCCTGGCCAACGATTACCTAATGCATTTGTGTCATCTGCTTTCCTTGTTGTGAGAAAACACACGGAGGAAATGTGTAAGTCCACTGAATTGTTCCCAACTCTTTTATTCACCTTTCAGCATGCTAGTTCCTTCCCTTGGCGTTGATATCATTATGCATTTGTCAAAGATAGACTGTCACTTCAGAGCCTCTATTATGCGTAAGAATTGGCAACAAATTTTGCCACTGGGATTTGCTTATATCCTCTGTATGTTATTGTACTTCTTTGGCATTCAGTAAATTCCGTACACCCACTTCTTTGATGTTCATTCCAGCCCCTAAATGTGGAAACAATGACTGAAATTTTGGATCAAAGCATCCCATAGATGGCAGGCAGCTCCGCTCTCTGATAATTCACAAGAACCAATAGCAGCACCTCCCCTCCCCCTGCTAAAATCCAGGCCGACAATCCTTCAAGAACAGCTCTGTCTTTAACAGTGCAAAAGCATGTGAGGAAGTTAAAAAAAAAAAAAAAGCAACCGCAGGTTTTAGTCAAAAGAAAGAGACTAAACTGGATATCTCTGGTGAAGCTCATGGTCATCTCCTAACATAGAAAAGGCTGACTATTGTTCAATTGTTCACCCATTTATTTTTATGGTGCTGTCCTATCAAGTGATTGAACTAGGCCAGACTTTTTTTTTTTTCCAGAATGGAATCATGTTCAGATATTCTTTCTGTATCATGTCAGCTCCACAAAATGGTCCAGATTTTTAAAATGAATTTTTTGAATAAGAACTAAAGTGTCCATGAATTAAGATATTTTAAAAGTAATTCCACAAAACCAGAACCACTGAAGTTAACTTTTGCAAACTGGAATGAGCTGTCTGGAACAGTTTTCACTGTTTGCTTTTGCTTTACTCCTGGGATGCCCGTGCAAATAATGACTTCATTCCATTTATTTCACAGGTCAGCTTTGACTCATAAGAGCATTAGAGCAGGTGACCCCCTAGGGGTGCTGGGAAGATGATTGAACAAATAGATAGGAAACCTTTGTGAGCAATTTGGGGATGGGGAGAGGACACTTTATAGATACAGGGCAATTTATGGTTTTTTGTTCACTTCTCTCCGTTTGATATTTAGAATGTGCTGGTTACAATTAATACACAATGTTGGGAATTCTATGTAATAAAAGACATAGTAAAGAAATATAGTGTTAAATATAGTGAAGAATTTCTAATTTACTCTCATCCTACGTAAATTTGAACAATTATCAGTAGAGGAGCATAATTGAGAATGGAGCTGGCTGTGCTGAATGGGGAAGAGAGTCATCTTAGCCTGATAGTATGTGTTCAATCAAAAGGTAGAGAGCTGAAGGAAACTGCTTTTAAAATATCAGTTTCAGATTGTCCCACTAGATAGGAAGTTTTTACTGCCAGGTGTGTGCAACAGTGACATCTAGTGGTTGAAGAGATAATAACAACTGAATCTCATTTTAAAATATTTTAAAAGTTTTGTATTATAACCAAATATTCTGTATTGTTCAATGCTGTCTGTATTCCTTATCTGGACAATATATATGTCAATAATTCATAATGTGTGGCAAATAAGGCAGACATACTCTTTTTTTACTAAGTAGTTTCCAAAGACGGGGGTTTGGTCATTTTCCTGGTTTTACTTTTGCTAAAATTGCAATAGGTCGGCTTTCCAAGGGTTTCTCTCACTCTGCTAGCACATATATGTATTTTTACAAGCACAAATTATGTGGTTTGTATTCTGCACACCCAGGAAAAACAGAGACTGCATTTTCAGCACTGTGCACAGGAAGACATCTGTGACCCTGAGCACTTTTATTGTTACAGAATTACTTAAAGAAGTGAAGTAAGATTTTTCCAAGTTATTGAAGATGAAGAGAAAGACAAAAAGGAAAAGAAGAAAAAAACCACAAGAAAATCAAGAAGAGAAAGGAGAGGAGAAATGAACCAAAAAGCGAGGAAAGAAAGAAATGAAGAAAAAAGAGAAGAAGAAGAAGAGAAAGAAGGAAAGAAAAGAGCAGGATCACTCATGGATCTTTATTAAATTTTAGCAATTGGCTCATTAACATACCTATGAAGAAAATAAAAGAGATATTAGCCTCCACTGCAAATAAATAAATAAAATAAAATAAATTGTTTTAAATTACATTCCTTCTACTGACTGGCAATTCATTAAGTAAAAGTTTATTTAAAAAATCATCAATAAAAAGTATGAAAACAGCTGCCATTGCTGCTGTAGAACATGCCACTTGAACAAATATGCTTAAAAAGCTTCTCCAACCCTGTGCTGGGGAGGAACTCTAGCAGAGCCTGTGACATCCTATCAGCCTATAAGCTGTTCACTCCGTGTCAATGCTGAGCGTACCAGTGACCACTTCTGAATTTTCCATTCCTTCAGAGAGACTACCACCAGGCATGCTGCTTCTCAATCTTAAGATTCTGTAAACATCAGTTTCCCCTTAATCACCTTCCTCTTTTAAAAAGTTCTGGAGATGGGAAGAACTTTCTTCTCCTTTTGGGGAGCAGGGGGAAATAAAACAAAATAAAGAAACAAAACACCTATACAACTCCAATAGAAAATACTAAAAGTGAGATATAATTCCATTTTTAAAAATCCCCCAAATTTCTTTTAACTATCATTCTCCAAAATGTGTCTGATTGAAAGAAACTGTATGGGTGGAAACTGTTGCATTAAGCAAAGAGCACTAGGACAAAGAGAAGGGAAGGGATGGCTCTTTTTTTTTTTTTTGCTCTGGGAAATGATTCCCATTTGTGTCAGGGAGAGTTAGGGGAGAGATGCTTTGAGACAGAGCAAGTGATTTTGCAGCCTTTAACCAGTTTGTTTTGCATTTACAAAGCCTTTGAACTGCAGGCTGGATTATGAAGATTCTGGAGAATGCCTCCCTCCTAACACTGCTCAGAGTATCTTTACTCCAAGATTCCCCTGGCTTCCAGCTTCTCAGTCATTTTCATAGCAGGACTTTATCAGGAATATATGGAGGATTAGCGTGCCTGAGTCTCACCTCTCTTTTTAATTCTGCAGGAGTCTGGCTGACCCAGCTCTTATCTCAAGCACCCAGAACCCTGATCAGATGATTTCTGGAATCTATCTGGAGCCCATGCAGAGTGAAGGTGAAACTTTCCCTTAGCACACAAGGGCCTCCTGCATCAATATCACCATGGCCACGCATTACCAGCTCCTGCCAGTCTGAGGAGCAAGAGGCTGGCATGAAGAATCAGTTCCTTCTTTCCTCCCTAAAGGAAAAGACTGTTTTGTAGAGCTTTCTTCAGTGTTTTAGGAACCTAAAAAAAATAAGCAGGTGTATACCGTGTACATCCCTTCCTGGTCCACAGCTTCAGGTATAGTTTTACTACAGTATATAATCTAATAATCCATTTAATTTCTTTAGAGAGATGTTATATATACACGTGGCATTTGGATGGAATCACATGCCATAAACCTGTCTGCCTCTATCTCGATCCCAGAATACAGAGGAAGAATCTGTTTACAGGCCTTCTAGAATTTTTACATGGTCAATTGGCTGGTTTTTGTATTCTGGAACATATCAGAGCATCTGCAGAAAAAAAAAAAAATATATATATATATATATATATATATATATATATTCTATAAAATGGTGGCAGGATTTCTGATTTACTGGTAGTACTGGCTTGAATTTTCACAAAAATATTTAGCTATAGGACAATGTATTAGGTGTATTCTTAAAGGTAAATAACTGCAGCCAATAAAAGTTTGGCCCATAAAGGGTCCCATCTTCTACTAGTTTTCTGCACCGAGAATTACTACCAGTATAATCATGGCTCCCTGCACACTAATATTTCCTCTGATACAGTATGATCAATGTTGTGGAAAAACATTTATTATATTTCTTCTAGCTGCTTAAAGGCATTACTGAATTATGGGCATCGCAAAACGAATCCACTGTGCATTTTTTCTTTATGTGACGTTTTTACAATCTTCATTTTCTGCTTTGCAGCCACTGAGCTATAGAGATCCACACTTCGTCCCTCTTACAACTGCCACTGCGGCCACCCTCTCCTTTCTGCTTTATTACATCTGAAATGCACTTCATATGATAACCTTCCTTTTCATTCTGTGCCAGACTCTTATTTGAAAGGAAGAAGTTATGAAAGAAATTAAACAATCAGTGTTGTTAATAACAGTCCTTAATCCTCTTACTTAACAAAGGTTATGGAGTTTAGACTGAGAAAAGGACGAGGGGAGGAGATGGTATTTTACCAAATCATTCCAGAAGAGCGGATGGGCTCTGAATGGGTGTGGGTTTTGCAGTTTTGACATTTAACAATTTTATTAGCATCTTTGCTTATTATGCACCTTAATCCACAGGGTCTGCAGCTCAGAGAGAGTGTGTCCGGCTAACAGCCCGTGTCTCAGGCCCTGCCAAGGGATGAATCAATTAGCAAGAGAAGCAATGATGCAAATGCTCCGGGGTCACTTGGGATGCTGCTTGCCTTTTTGATAGAGAAAGCATGCTATAAATAACATCACACCTCAGGAAATCATTCTGGGAGGCCCAGATGCTGGCGGGGCTGCTGCTGGGGACGGAAGGAATCATTTGCTCATTGTGTGTATTTCCCCCATCTCAGTCAATGGAAGATTTGTAGTAAAATCAAAGTATTTAAAAGGAGGACAGTCTGTGGTAACAGAGGCATGTTTAGTAATTTTTTTTTCGTACCAGAACCCATGATTTATGACCCAGAGTTACAGCCAACTTTATTACAAAAATGACTTCACCCATAATAACCTTATTCAGGGCTCTCTGGAGAATGATGTAGTACCCAACAGCATTATAATATAGCAAATATTCACAAACAATTCCCTCCTCTGTCTAATTTCCCCTGCCCCCTCAAAGGCAGGCTTCCCCTTTTACCTGCCGGGAGAATGGGGGTCCCAGGAAAGGTTTTGTGCTCTTTCTGTGAGAATCTGCTTGCATCAGGCATTTATAATAAGCTACAGGAGAAAGCTGCCTCCTGGGTCTCAGTCTCATCCTCCCTGACCTGTGCCTTGAGGAATAGTTGGTAGAGGACCCCCACTCACCTTCCATTTCCTCCCTGAATGCCTTCTCCCTCCCTGCACTGCTCCCTCGGGTCCCCAGCACCTGAGAGAGCTCCCTGAAGCCCCCTCCTTTTTAATTGCCATGGTAACAGACGGCTGCACTAAAACTGCCAGGGTTGGGTGTCCAAGCAAGGTCCCCTGGGCGTACCAGGATCTAGGAACTAGCCCTCCATCTTATTAAACTCTGGTGTCAGTTCCTAGCAATTGTTTTAAATTTACACCCTCAGAGTGGCTTAGTGGGATTATATGTCCATTTGCATTAAAACAGGTTTCTGTCATTAAACTGCCATACAATAAGCTTCCTTGGGACAAATTAATGAGCTCTAAATATCATCAAGTAGAAGTTCACTTCACCAAGACAGCCAGCAAGGGGCGGGGGGTACAGAAGGATGTGTCTGCTCAGAGTCTTCACCCAGGAGGACTATAAGTGCCAACTAAAGAAGGGTCTTGTCCTGCTTCTTCACTGTGGATTAGTGTCCTGATTTAGAGCTGATTGGGGAAGAGTTGGAGACATCTCCCCATTTACCAAACTCCCACAGCTCATCTCCCATTCCTTATTCCAAATGTGCCATTAGCCTTGACCTTGTCTGCTGAAACCTGCTGATGAACTGCTGGCATCCTCACTCTGTGACAGTGTCTCTGCGTCATTCTCTTTACCCTGTTGTCATTGTCCTTGAAGAACTTGTGTGCATCTGTGTGGCCTGGGACAACATGCATACAGCACAGCATGAGGTTGACCTAGAAGGCACATTCCCTCACGCTAAAATGCCTGTGTGATTGTTAGTGAACTGTCTGGCTTATCAGTAGGACCCTGGAATTCTGGTCCTGGTAAGGAGCATCTTTCCTTGTCATCTGGGAGCAGAGCTGAAACAGGGCCAGTTTTAAGGACTGCATTTACCTTGCTCACAATTATTCCCCATGCTTGCCCTCACAAATCCACATTCATATCAAGTAGAAAATATTCATCAAAACTAAATAAATAACCTTCTCTAATGTAAAGAAGATGAGACTGGCTGCTAGAAAGACTTCCTGATCTCACTTCTGTGTAGCCTTAACAGGGGACAGTAATGTATGATTGAGACACTGCTATATTTAGGAATGACAAGATGGGCATTATTAATAGCTTAATTGACATTAAGGCAATTACCCCTACCCTTATTACAGTTTGTAGAATTACACAGAAAATATTGGCTGAGGCCTTTTTTCCCCTAGAGCTACCCAAGGATACAGCATTTTATTTCATGCCAGATCCCGGCTTTGACATTAGATACTTAGCCATAGAATGATTCCAGTAAATCATTATAAATGCATTATAATAAAGATGTTATGAGCTATCAGATATTAACCCCCAACCCTTAAAGAGAGATAAATAGTCCAGTTGCATGATTCCCACTTTTGTTTCATAAGAAATAAGCTTTTGCAAAGAGCAACTGACTAATGAATTATAAAATGGTGTGTTGAGCTCAGATAATTAAACAATGCATTTTAGTGTCTAGTGCAGGATGAACACTAAATCATACATAAATAAAAAAGGGAAAAACCTCAACCCCCAAGCCCAACTCTTATTTTCAAATACCATTAAGATTGGTCTATAATCCAGAAATGCTTCTATCCTTTTTTTTTTTACCTGATTAGAGGGGCATATCAAGAATAAGATCAAGACACACGTAGGTAAACTCAACCAAGAGGCAGAACAAGAATTCTGGAGGTGCTAATTTCAGATAAGCCCACAAGGTGATTTTAATGGAGATTTTACATGGAGATTGCCTTTTCCCCAAAAGTGCTAATGGGGCAAAAGTCTAGAATAACTAGAAAGTTCCCCAGTTTTCTTATACTTTCCAACTTTTGATTTGATCTCTGAACTCAGAGTAAAGTTTATTAGTAGGGATTTGAGGAGGCGAGTAAAAACTATGGTATTGGTGGTGGTCTTAGCCTTGTAGTATTGCAAAGACAAATATATGTCCTAAAAATCTCTCTGTGGGACTGAGGATATAGCTCAAC